AGAAAATTTGCGCGTGAGCAGCGTATATTTGAGAAGTCGCAATCAGTTTTGTCCACAAACAGAGGAAATCCGTGCACGAGCATCACACAAGGTAGAGAGCAAAGCTCTTCAACGCTATGTGAAGAAAACAACGTTATTGTTTGTATGAAGTAGCCTACTTTATTAACAATATGTGCTACCATTTTACATTGCTGCTAGACGGATTTGCAACTCCATCTCTTTAGCACACACGAGATTCAATTGACAAAATTCCAATTTCACTCAATTTAACTTTGCAGCATATACAGGAGTTGGTCTACTGCTACCACATTGAGGTTATGTAATTTTGGTTAATCACAAGTTGATCACCGAAGACATAACATAGCACAACTAAACTTAATGAATTAGACAGCAGGAGACCTGCATTTTCTGTGTGATGTGAGGCAAAATGGAGTCTTTTTTTGGTGGAACTCGTTCTTGTGCATTATGCTGTGGAGACGAGACGCAGCACTGTTTAGCACTTTTTCAGAAAATTGCATTTGTATTTTTATATATCTGAGCAATGTTCTTTGATAAAAAAAAGGTTTGTTTAATTAATACAGATCTTACAACCATACCTAATCTGTATATATTTTATTTTTCTGTTAAAAAGACTCGAAAAGACTCGAAAATCAAACTGCAGGACTTTGGACTTGACTTGAGACTTGTTGCCTTTGACTCGGACCTTGACTCGGGACTTGCCTGTCTTGACTCGGGACTTGACTCGGGACTTGAGGGCAATGAATTGAGACTTACTTGTGACTTGCCAAACAATGACTTGGTCCCACCTCTGTCTGATACTATTTTTTCTTCTGAAGAAAGTCTTAATTGTTATATTTCGGGTAGAATAAAAGCAGTTTTTAATTTTCAAGAGCCATTTTAAGGTCAAAATTGTTAGCCCCTTTAAGCTATGTTTTTTCGATACTCTACAGAACAAACCATCATTATACAATAACTTGCCTAATTACCCTAACCTGCCTAGTTAAGCTAATTAACCTTGTTAAGCCTTTAAATGTCACTTTAAGCTGTATAGAAGTATCTTGAATAATATCTAGTCAAATATTATTTACTGTCATCATGGCAAACATAAAATAAATCAGTTATTAGAAATGAGCTATTAAAACTATTATGTTTAGAAATGTGTTGAAAAAATCTGCTCTCCGTTAAACAGAAATTGGGGGAAAAACAGGGGGGCTAATAATTCTAACTTCAAGTGTATAAATATATACAGTATATATATATTTAAAGGTTTACAATTTAAATCCAATTAGAGCCAATCCAATTTTTGATGAACAAAGTCTCATAATATATCTACTAAAAGACTTTACAAATGCTATTGTACATAAATCACATAAACATTTGCATATTGTTCAATAATATTACTGAAATTATTTTATAACATCTGAATGAATATATATTTAAATACAAGTATATAGTTAATAAGTATACATTCATTTTTTTTTTTTCAGCTTGGTCCCTTTATTTATCAGGGGTCACCATAAACATCCATACACACTCATTCACACACATACACTGCAGCCAATTTAGTTAATCCAACTCACCTTTAGCACATGTCTTTGGACTGTGTGGGAAAACGGAGCACCCGAGAGAAACCCACATGAACATGGGGAGAACATGCGAACTCCACATAGAAATGCCAACTGAACCAGCTGGGACACAAACCAGCGACCTTCTTGCTGTGAGGCAACAGTGCTACCCATTGAGCCACCGCGCCACTTTATTAAGTATACAATATAAGTAAATGAACAGATTGAATGATAGGATCAAAAACCTGCGGATTCCCTGTGGGCCTACTTATGACTCACCAAAACTCACTTTGATCAAAATTTTGCTCTGGGACCTTGCGCTGCCTCAATGATTCAATTACATATCAGTTTTGATCAGATAAGCATGTAAAGTTATGTAAATTCTTGTCACAGAGACCCAGAAGACCAAGGGACTTGTTTTGTTGTAGGAGAGAAACGTGCACCTTTTTTATAAACGTATTAAATGCAAAGCAGCCAATAAACCACAGAGAACGTCATCTGTTTTGTTGAGCACACATGATGGGCTTTGGCTCTTAAGCTTCGAGTTTATTTGCTTTTCATGTTTTTTGGCTTTGTTCTTACCCTCCTCGTACACTTTGATTGGCCTCCCACACGTCCCACACCAGTTACATCATAGCTTCATGGATCCTGCCAAAGCCTACAAGAGAGGTTTGTTTGGGTAGGACCACACCACAGTCACCGGCCAGAGGAGTTGGTCTGTGTTTAGGAAAGAATGAAATGTAAACGCGTATTGTGGATTCAAGATTTGCAATCTCAATGACCTGCATCAAAGGGGGAGGGGCTTATAAAATGATTGACAGTTTTTCAGATACAGCAGGGAAAATAAGGATTGAACACATCATGTTTTTTCCTGGAAATAATATATTTATAAGGAGCTGTCAACATGGAATTAAACCAAATTTGGGTAAAAACCCAAACAATACAATCATAAAAATAAAACAAAACCAAACAAATCTGAAAAAATGAGTTACATGTAATTACAATGAAATGATACAAGGAGAAAGTACTGAACTACTGAAACACATTCAATACATTATATGAAAGCTTTTAATGATGGCAGCTAAAGCCTAGTTCACACTACAGGATTTTAAGCCTGATTTGAGCCCGATTTTGAAATTAACGAGCTTGCCGTCAGATCGGAGGAGCTCGGCGCTCTGCAGTCTTTATGTGTGAACTAATGAAATCAAAGAGGCTCGCTGACGCGTCTTTGACACCTCGCTGGCGAAAATCTAATATTTAGCATGCTGAATATTCCAGAGCAGTCGGCCGACTCGATCCCACGTGCGGTCAGATGTAGTGACGAACTGTAGCCAATGAGAGCACATACAGCATGAGCTGAATGGCCATTGTGCTCAGAAGCTCAACAGAAACGTCTGTGATTGGCCAGAATGAGCATCGATGCACTCGCTTCATTCTGTGTTAACACGGACACGAGAGTAGGCTATATGAAGATGTCATACAAGACGTCATATTTACATTCAAAACTTCTATTGAGATATTAAACTTAAGCTTTGAATGTGTTTCATCATATTTTATGACACATTACCCTATTTATTTTTCTTTTTGGTAATACAGCCTATAAATATGTAGTTAAGATACTAGAACAAACAAATGTCTGGGCCTCGCTTTCATTTACACTTTCAAACAGGAGCTATTTCACGGCATAGAATACGCTGTTTTAAAAGATATATCTGAAGTAAATTTATGTTTTTGCTATAAGAAAGTTGTTTATGTTAGCAGGAAGTTGCTAAGCAAAAAGGCATGCATAATTAAAGTCACAGCAAAAATCAGCAGACATTTGCATTTGACAATGTGGATCACTTGGTCCTCCTTTTGCGGTTGGTCCAACAGGTTGGCCTTCAGAGGGCTGTGTTAGACTGGTTTAACTCATATTTAACTGGTCGCAGTTTTTCAGTTAGGGTTGGTGACTTCTCTTCATCTCCTGCCCCTTTGAACTGTGGTGTGCCTCAGGGATCCATTTTTGGGCCCTGCTTTCTCTGTGTTCTCTTTGTACATGCTGCCTTTACATTTATATATATATTAACCCCTCTGTCTCTTCTATCAAATCTGTTTTTTATTTATATTCTATACTGGATTCAAGTCAGATGATTGGCTGGGCCATTCTACAGCTTGATTTTCTTTCTCTGAAAGCTTTAAAGAGTCTTTTCGGCCGTGTGTTTTGGATTATTGTCTTGCTGAAATGCTGAAACCCTGGTTTCATTCAATTCAATTCAATTCATCTTTATTTCTTTTGCACTTTCACAATGTAGATTGTGTCAAAGCAGCTTAACATAGAAGATTAAAGTAAATTGAAAGTCCAGTTTCATCTTCATTATTCTGATAATGTAGATGTTGTACTGAAGCAGTGAATATTAATTTACAATGACGAAGGGCAGAGGATTGCTTAAGAACTACTGAGAGATTTCAGCTGCTGTCTGGGCTTTCACTGCTTTCCTACACCTCACTTTCTTCATGTCTTCAATACTTTTTTCTTGTGTCATTTCATTTTATTACAGATAGCTTCATTTTTAAACTAAGACGAATTGTTTTCTTTGCATATATGGATATCTTTTCTACATGGATTTATCAACATCCGGGGAAAATTTCAAGTCAACGCCACATTTAAAAATTTGTATTCTGAGAAAAATGGGGACGTGTTCAATCCTTACTTTCCCACTGTATATTATTATTGATATCCTTTGCTACAAAGTGTACAACTTGGTTGTACAAATCTGATCCCAATGCAACCAAAAGTTGGTTATTCATATCAGATGGTTGTTTTTATTATTTAATTAAATGAATAGATCACTCGGAAATGAAAATGCTGTCCTCATTTACTCACCCTTGTTTCAAATCGAGTTACATCCTTCTGCTGAACCCAAAAGAAGATATTGTGACCATCCATAGTATTTATTTTTCTTACTATGGAAGTCAATGGTTTTCAGCATTCTTCAAACTATCTTTTTTGTTCAGTGGAAAAAATGAGGATGAATAAATTTTCATTTTTGAGTGAACTATCATTTTAAATAGGAACATCAGACATGTGTAAACACCTGAATGTATTTTTCATATCTCAAAGCTCATTTTCTCTGCATTAACTTTGGACACTTTGTACCCTAAAATCTCGTAAAATCAGCAACGCTATAAAAACGTTAATCAAAAGCATACTGTTGTCTTCCCACCCAACACTTAAAGACTGAGTCGTATCACTCATCTGGTGTTTGTCTTGGCTCGCTTAGACCGTGCTTCTCTCCTGACTTTCATGCTCAACCAAGTGACATCACCTTGTTTACCTTTATAGCTGTTTTTCCTCAATAGATCTTAGATATGGGTTTTGAGACGCCGCTGGTGTCCATGTAAACAAAACAGGCGTCATGGTTGTGTTTTGATTGTAATGGTCGTTTCACTCAACAGGTGACTTGCCTCAGCATCTTCAGGTGATGATCAACATTCTTCGGTCTGAGGATCGCATCAAACTGGTGAGAGAACACACACAAACACACACACACACACACACACACACACACACACACACACACACACACACACACACACACACACAGTCAATGACTAACATTTTGGCAGTCAGACTGAATGGGTTTTATTGTCAAAATGTTGCCTGAGGCTTGTTTCCTTTTGCTGTGATTATCAAGGCACGCTTGAATTCGGGCTGCACGATAGTGAATAAAACTGATATGGAGCTATTTAATTTTTTTGTAATGTATAATTTCACTAGATTCAAAATGTTTCTTTGAAAAGAATTCATAATTTTCGATACATCGGGATGATTTTGAAAGTGATTTTGACAGTGCATCTACATTAAATATAATAAACCAATCAATCACAAACATTGAAAAACACTGTAGAGCAACAATACTGTAGAAATAAAACACACAGTGCATTACGATTTCTGAAAATCTAGCAATGTTTAGATACACAAATGTAATAATCAAATATAAAATAACACTAAATAGTCTTTATCATATATATATATGTATATACTGTACATCGTTAGTTATAAATGCAATTTCTTATGCCTGAATATTTTTAACTGAATTAAATGATAAAAACACATAAATAATAAATGTTCTGGTAACTTTATGGTTAATAGCAAAAACACCTGAAATCATGAGTGTTTTCAAATGTGTTTTTCGAATTCTGGTCAATAATAATGCCGATTCAACATTGCAGATCTTGCGATGTGACTATTGCAGATGCGCACATTGCGATATCGATGCTGAAATTATATATTGTGCAGCTCTAGTTTAAATGTCTTGAGGGTTCATGATGAAATATACTGTCTATATTAAAACTATTGTCATTCACTTAAAATGTTGATTAATGTACATTTAACAGCTGCATTTGAACAACTGTATTTGTCCTGTAAAATAAATATTCTTTTGATCATTTATGAAACCTCCTGACATTCCAAAACCAACTTTGCTTTGATGTGAGCTGTATGGCAGCTGATTGGTGGAGAGGAGACAGAGTGATGAAGCCAATAACGGTATTGGGATGGTTAGGAGGCAATGATGGACCGAGGACAGTGGGCAAATTTGGCCAAGATGCCAGGGTTAAACCCCTACTCTTTTTTGAAAGACATCCTGGGATATTTAGTAACGTTATAGTAGTTATTAAGTATATTTAGTAACATTATAGTAACATTGTAATAAAATCAATATAGCACTGTAATAAATTTAGTATTAGAGTTTCCAATTTGCTGTTGATTAATGGTAACAATGCCAGTGCATTAATTTAATATCATTTAATTTCTGTCATTTTAAAAAATCTCCCACAACTGATTACTTTCACTTTAGACTCCAACTTAGTGGATTGTGTTGTAAAAGTGGGTCTTTTGATTTGATTTTACATACACTCTGCCATGTTGCAACACAAGTACATGTTAAATAAAAAAGAGAGAGAAGCGTGGTCAGGGCCGGAGTGGGACTTCTTTTCAGCCCTGGAGTTTCAAGCCTCAGACCGGCCCACATCAGTTCACGACTGACTATATTAAAATAAGGTCATTTCCAAATCAGTTTCTAATGACACTATCACGTCATTTTTTGAGAAAACAGCTGCTTTAGAACTTCAAATGTTCAACAACCCTAACAGTATTATATGTCTTAACAATAAATATGAAAAAAAAAAAATTACTTTGACGAGGATCGAACCCGGGACAGTGACGTCTTAACCTAATGAGCTAACCACTGGACCACAACCTATATATAGATTTGAGTCTCATCTGGCTTATTAACCTGCAGGCTGCATATTGCTCACGAAGCTGCGAGAAAATAGGTAAAATAATGAATAAAAAGGCTGTGGTCAAGTAAATAAATAAATAAATTTTAAAAATGTGACTGCTGAGAGCTACAGATTCTGGAGCTAGGGACACCGGCCCTCGCGGCCAAAAAACAGACCGGCCCACCGGGAATTCTCCCGGTCCTCCCGATTAGCCAATCCGGGCCTGAGCGTGGTACACTCACTTCTGTGTCAAATGCTTTAAAAAAAAAATACACAGTGCATGGCTGCATGACCCAAACAATACACACTTGTCTCAAATTCACACAAGAACTAAACAGATTAGGTTTTTTATGAACAAAACAAAAATAATACCCATGGCCCCTGATAATACATTGAAGTCTTATGAAATGTCTTATTAATCAGTATGTACAAAATTGTCCATATGCAATATTGTGAAAATGCTCAGGACCCGGATTAATCTTAAGGGGTTAGATCACACAAAAATGAATTACATTTTATAAACTAGTGACTAAATTAGCAGAAAATGTCCTTTTTAAGTTTGCTCTTTAGTTTCAGCATGCAGTTTTAGTGTAGATTTTTTGTTCTTTTACATGAATATATATAAAATAAAGCTTTATTGTTATCCAAGTAACCTAGATGGATTAAAATGAGCTGTAGCAAAATACTTACCAAAATGTTGACATAAAAACAGATTCAGGATGAAATCATTAAGTTGTGGTTGTTCTATTAATACAGGGTGTCTGTGGGGTCTTAAAAATATTAAAAGTTGATAAATCAATGTAGAGACATTTAAGGCCCTTAAAAAGTTTTAAAAGTCCTAAATGCTATTTTGCAAGGTATTAAATTTGATATCATTTTTGATTATGAAAAAATATGGTTGTATGCTAAAGTTTGCCTGAATTAAATCTGCGAAACACAGGATGCTGTGTAGTTTCTAAAATCAAAGAAATCCACATCATGCTGCTTTGTTTACTGCAGTAACAAAGGCAACACTATTATTTCTGAAGTTTTATACGCACCAACTTGCGACATTAGCTAGATTTCATAGATTTGTATTCAGTTTTTTAATAATGTTTTAGTTTTAGATTCGTTTCTTACATTAATATTTAGTAAATATAGTGAAAGTTAGCATCTCGCCAGTGTTTCCGGTTGAAACCTAAAGTGGTTTTAAGGTATGGAAAGACTTTTAAAAAAGGTATTGAATACCACTCTCTGATTCCTGTTTGTACTCTGTAATGAGTTGAATGATGTATTGTGTTTTTCACGTCTTCATGTGTGAGCTGTTTTTGCACCAATCAAGATTTATTTGTTGATTTACTGTAATCTGCAGGCGGTGCGTTTGGAGAGCGCGTGGTCAGACCGTGTGAGGTACATGGTGGTGGTTTACACAAATGGCCGACAAGACACTGAAGAAAACATCTTATTGGGCATGGACTTCAGCAACAAAGACAGGTGAGTTTAATAAGTACAGTTTAGTAAGCGTCAATTTTAGGTGTTTGTTTTCTATTTAAGGGGAATTACTGGGAAAAAAATACTCAGTGTTTGTTGTGGTTGTTTGACAGTAAGAATTGCTCTGTCGGGATGGTGCTGCCGCTGTGGAGTGACACCAAGATTCATTTAGACGGTGACGGGTGAGTGCTGCCCCCTCCTGGGGTGAAAAGGAAATGCTGATACTGCTGTTCTATAGCATTTGATACGCAAATCAATCCTGTGTAATTAAATTCAAGGTTGTTTGGTTTGTAAACTGAAAAATGAATGTTGACGACAGTTAACAGTATTGGTAATGTTCATTGTTAATTAGAGAGGTTGTTTTGTTTTGACGTATGCAGTCGTCCTAAGTTAACCTGTGTCCTCATGTCTCCAGGGGTTTCAGTGTGACGACCGCCGGGCGTACGCACATCTTCAAACCGGTGTCAGTCCAGGCCATGTGGTGAGGAAACAAAATACATTATTAATCTGCCTAAACTATGTCAAGCTCGACATTTTAGTCTTAAGCTAAATTCGTTTAGTTTCTGCTCATGTTTAGCTTTGGGCTTTCTTTGTTAGTAAGTGCTCAGCAGCTCTTTTAATTTATTAATTTAACTCTTAAATGGCTTTGGGAAATAGTTTGGCCTTTCATGTTATGATTAATAACAACTCTCTATCAGATGACAGGTTAAACTGTTGTTGTTTTTCTGTTGGGAGCCATAGTCTAGTTGACGGGATGAAATTGGGCACTTGTTTGTTACTGAGGTATGAAAATAGCTCTTCGGGGAGTTGAAGATGCTACGAGTCGACTGTTTTTCAGACGTTCACTGGCGCTTTGGGACTTTGACATCTTTAAATATAAAAGAGCTCTGCACTGCCATCTGGCGATCATTTAAAAAAGTACAGCGAATATCAGATAATTTGAGGGGTTTTCATGTGAGGCTTGTACATTTGCCACATTACTGTTCAATAAGCATATCAATGTACTATGTTATTTGTATTGAACAATATACTATAATACTGTGGTACTTTTTAATATCAATTGGTTTAATAGTGAATTAATTGCATTCTTGTCCGGTTTTCAGCCCTGCAGATCATTTGCTTTGTTTCTAAAACGCTTGATTTGATACAATGCTGCTGCATTTACAGTACTTCTTGGCTTGGTTTGCTTTCACTGGGAAACTTTTTTGAGAATACTAAAATTTATGCAATATGAGTTTTCAAGTTAGACTTGTCATACTAAGCCATCATGACGGCAAACACCCTCGTATGGAAGATAAAAGCAGTTATTTTACAACTATGGCAATGAAAGCTTATCAAAGTGTTGTAAATATTGGGTTTTAAAAAATAAGTGAAGGTTATAAAATAGATTTTAAAATATGCCAAGAGTTTTTACACTGTGGTTTGCTATTTAAAGGCCATCAATGTTTATTAAGGTTCTGATCTGATTGCCATGCTCATATCGACCTAAACAAGTCAAATAATATAGAAAATGCTTCAAGTGAACATGGTTTAAAATTCGCTCAAGGGGTTGGTTCTCCCACAAATGAAATGTGCCTCCTCATTCACTTAAATTTTTATGGATTTAAATAGTTAAAAGTTTCTTTCTTCTGTTTAAATTAAAAAAAGATATTTTGAAGAATGTCATTTTCTGGCACCCATCCAATGTGTGACAGCTGAACTGAAGTACTTTTAATTTGACTTCATCTATGTTAAGCTGCTTTGACACATTGTAAAAAGCGGTGTAGAAATGAGGATGAATTGAAAGATGAATGAAAATTAAATAGTAAGATTTTAAAAAATAAAAATACATTTTTTCCAAATATATTCTTTTGTGTTTAATAAAAGAAAGGAACAAAGTAAATAAGACAGAATTTTCATTTTTGGGTGAACTGTCCCTTTAATCAGTTGCGATACTCTTTGATTGTATTGTTTATTAAAGAGAGGGGAGAGAGATAGAGACACACAAAGATTGTGATTATTTAAAGTCATTAAAGTCATTGTTTACATGGACGCCAATAATTTTAATACGATTAAGACAATACTCTGATCAAGAGTCTTGTAAACAGCAATTTTCGATTAATTTATTCTGATTAAGGTCATAATCAAACTCAACAGAAACGTAATTAAGACATGTGGATTATGCCGATTTAAGTCGCATTATTGAAATGTATTACAGACATGTAAACAACGCAATCAAACTATTTCCGTGGTGTAGAATTTTCGCCGCATTTTGCGACAGGATAGTTTATACACACACAGCTGTTTGACACTATTCTCTGCACCTACCGAGTCAGTAAAGGAACACAGACACGCACATCCTTAAGTGTGGAGGTTTTTTTCTCCCATTCGGCATAAGTTATCAAATTCCATTAAAACAACACTTGTCGAGTAGTTCATACTCGCATCCAATATTTTATTTTTCACGGGGGGCATGCATGAAATGTTCCTGAATGAAAGTGTAAGTGCCAAACATCAGTTGAAGTTGACAAATTAAAGATGAAACACCCGAAATTACATGAAACTTTGGAAAAAATGCAGATAGCGTGGTGACACAATGACGTTAATCAAATTATGTGCTATAACATGTAAAACAGGAGCATGAAAGGAACATTCAAAAAGCAACTCATGTAAAACCCTTAATCATATTATTGGCTTTTTTAAGATTATGCAAATAATTCTATTACAGAAGTCCATGTAAACATACCTGTAGTCACTGATGGTGTACGTAGGTCTCTCACTCTTGCTCACTTTTAATCTGCTCCTCCTGCAGGTCAGCTTTGCAAATTTTACACAAGGCCTGTGAGGTGTCACGGCGGTACAACTATTTCCCTGGTGGGATGGCACTGACGTGGATGGGGTACTATGAGAGCTGCATCAGCTCTGAACAGAGCTGCATCAATGAGTGGAACGCCATGCAGGACCTGGAAACACTGAGACCAGACTCGCCTGTAGTCTTTGTCGACAAGTGAGTTAAAGCCTCGCACATTTAAAGCACCTCCAGAATACAGAGTATTGATGATCCTTTTGTTTTTTGGCCAACCGAAACCATAATTACAGATAATTTTAGTAGCCAAAATGGTCAAATAAACATATTAACACAAAAGGTCATTGATTACCGTGTTAATCATGTCATGTCGGACTGCTTTGGGTACCTCAGAGATGTGTATTATCCCCTGTCTTATTTTATATATATTAATGAACTGCAGAGCAATAATGATGATAATCTCACTCTTATAAAATCTGCAGATGATCTGGCATTGGTTTAAATATATTAATAGTATCACAGATTGATTTGGCAAAAGTTCATTACATCTTAAAGATGCAGTAGGTGATCTTCCACAATGCTAACAGCTTAGCATAAATCTCTGAATCACAGTCCCTCCCCTGCCGTCTAGAGCCACGCCTCCTGAAACATGAGCACTGCAAAAGAACCCTCTCTCATGTGTTAAAAGCGACTAGTGCTTGTCCAGCGATGTGCAAGCCAGACTGACATGCTGTTCCAGAGCAAATATTTAGAGTTGTATGGTAAACAAAATAGGGAAAGACTAGGCGGAAAAGCGGTATTTACTTGTGTTTTGTTGTTTAACTAATTAAAATCTATATCATCGATGCTGTAAAAGGTCCCTTATGAAACTGAAAATAGTCTTATCAATCTTTCATCAGAAGATTTTAGTGGCTGAACAACACTTCTGTGAAGATATATCGTTGACCCATTTGTAACAACAACATCTAACGTTACATCAGCTCTGCGTAAAGCTACAGTTTTGAAACAGAACATTACCTGTCTAAGAGAAATCCTTCAGTCATTGTGTCATCCTTTCTCCAGCGTGCAAAGGTAACTCCGATATTGATTCAGGTTTTTAAAAAGTTTTAAGCATGTTTTTACCGATAGCGCATGCACGCGCGTGCTCTCTCTCGTGAACGCGTGCCGGTCGGCGGAGCTGTGTACAAATGGCTGCGCAGTTGTTCAAATGTGCATTTGCTGATAGACAGATTGGGCTACGTATATAAATTATGAGAGATGTCGGTCCGACTCTATTTATTTGGATGAACATTTATTTGTTTTATGCCTTACCCAAAATATAAAAATACATATAAATACATTTAGATCACTTACTTTAATCATTACTATTAGACTGTAAAGAAACTTTCAACCAGCACAACAACAAATGCTTCTGAAGACAATCACCTACTGCACCTTTAATATTGGAAAAACAAAAGAGCTATGTCAGGGAAGTCAAACAAGAGCAGTAGACACTAGATTTATAAACCAGTCATCATAAATGGACAAATAGTAGAGCAGGTCTTAAATTTTAGGTATTTAGGCACAATTATTGACAATAAACTGACTTGATAGTAATGTAGAGGCTGTTTATAAGAAGGCAAGTCAGTGCCTCTGTGTCCTCCGCAAGTTTTAATGTTAGTACACAGACTTTAAACATTAATAGTGAGTGTTCTTACATATTGTTTCATGGTTTGGTAACACAACGCTTCAACAAAAGAAGAAATGATCACAAATTATCAATCAGGCGAATAAGATAACTGGTCACAAGCAACATTCACTGCAGATCTTGTTTGACTACTTTATGGAAAAAACAGTAATTGTGATTTTTAACGATAATAAACAAACACCCTTCACTCAGCTTTTGAAGTGTTACCATCAAGACGTAGGTTTAAAATTCCTAGAGCCTATAAGAAATGCTTGTTTCTAGAGTGTTTCTATGGTGTGATTGTTGTCTTAAACACTTGTCTGAAATTCAGCGTTAAAGACAAATTTCCTTTCTGTGCCAAGCAGAACGCACAATAAAGTTTGAACTAAACTCAACTTAAAAATTACATTCTTTAAATGTATAATGAATAATTTAAAAATGTATATATTCTTAGCAACCAATTAAAATGTTCAAATTAACATAAAAAGGTTATTACAAAATTACCAAGTTTTTTTTTTTTTTTTGATTTTTAGTTAATTTTATTTTGCTACATTTATTTTTTGTTATAGAAAATAACTGTTGTTTTTAGGTGGAAGAGCTATGATGCAAAATAAAACCATTTATTTTACCTAGTGTTTGTTGAATACATGTAATTATTTTCCTCTTACTATTAAATTAAGTTACTGTAACCATCACAATGTTCTTTCTTAAAATGTTTGGTCTATATTGTGTCCTGTGTCTGTTCCTCAGGCCAACAGAGAGGGAGAGAACAGAATGTCTAATCAAAGCCAAACTCAGGAGTATCATGATGTGCCAGGACCTTGAAAATGTCACGTCCAAAGAGGTCAGCAAGAAATGCAGTTACAGTATATACCAAGTAATATATGCCACAACTGACCCTCATACCTCAAAATACAATTATAAGTAGAACATAATTTGAGACACTTTCTGCTTGGATTCAGCAATTTGCGTGAACTCTTATGTGATTACATTATCTGAGTTAATGTGTGTTATCAAGAACACAACTTTTAATTAAACTGCAGGTCAATAATGATGTGTATTCCTAGATTCGTAATGAGTTGGAGCAGCAGATGAACTGTAACCTGAAAGAGTACAAAGAGTTCATAGACAATGAGATGCTACTTATTCTTGGCCAGATGGATAAAGCCACTCTCATCTTTGACCACCTTTATCTGGTTAGTGTTGCTTTGTCAGTCTGTTTCTTGATTTTATTTTATATTTATGAGCAAAAACACTCATCAATAGCCATTATATATATTTTAATAATAACAAGTCACTTTAATTTGTAATAACCTGTAAAATAAAATGCTACTTTAAAAGGGAGTTGTTTATACATTTTTTTATATTAAGATTGAGAATGAAATTACTTTTTATGTTAGTTCTGTAACAAAAAATATGCTAGTATTTGTCATAAATTGGTGCACTGCATGCTAACTTCCCTAAAAAAGCAGTGAATTACATTACGTATTGCTCATTTTCCAGGGTTCTGAATGGAACGCTTCCAATCTAGAGGAACTTCAGGAAAGTGGGTGAGTTCACCTTCAACCTCCCATCCATTTTTTCTTGAGATACTGTTTATTTAAATGGGTTTATGTTAGGTAAATGTGAAAGTTTCAACTGAATGTGTATCATATATTGCTATTTAAAGGGCAACATTTTCTCCTGTTTCAGCTGAAGTTCAGAGTAGAATCATCAAAGCGTTTTATTTTACTCTAAGAATCAGGGTATTTATAGTACCTGGTTAGGCAAAAAAAAAAGAAACTTGCATGCATGTAGATTTCCATTGTTCTCCAGATGTAATATATGTAATCTCTTTATGTAAATGTATTGCTGTTTTAGGGTGGGCCACATCTTAAATGTCACAAGGGAAATAGATAACTTTTTCCCAGGAACATTCTGCTACCACAATGTCAGAGTGTATGATGATGAGGCCACAGACTTACTGGCTCACTGGAATGATACCTACAACTTCATTGTCAAAGCAAAGTGAGGAACTATTTTGCATTTCTGTCTTTTAAATCTACTCAACATGCTCTTTCTCTTTCCAAATGATTTTTTAACAGCATCTTTGTTCTGTATCTACAGAAAGAATCATTCCAAATGTTTGGTTCACTGTAAGATGGGCGTAAGCCGCTCTGCTTCCACGGTGATCGCATATGCCATGAAAGAGTACGGCTGGACTCTGGAGAAAGCATATAACTTTGTTAAACAGAAGCGCAGTATCACTCGTCCCAATGCCAGCTTCATGAGACAGCTGGCAGAGTATGAAGGCATACTGGATGCCAGGTACAATAAATTTCCTTTTTTTGTATTCTAGCATTTGTATTTTAGATAAAGATAAAAATAAATTGTATACATGCATTTGGTAGATGCAATGTGATGATATAAAAGATCTGAGTCTGTTTACATGCACAAAATAACCAGAAAACTTAAAAAAATCAGATTTTTTATAAAAAATCAGTAAAGCAGCTGTACAGAAAACCACTTTTACGTGAGATTTTAAGGTTTGCTAGATTTCTTAATAGCAGTGACATCACAGCCAAAACATCAGCGTCAGTAACTCAAAATGTTGTTGGGAAATCTGTCAGAGTCTGCGGGGTCTTAATAAGTATTAAAAGTTGATCAATCATTTATGAGAAAGTGAAGGCCCTCATAAGGTATTAAAAAAGTCTTAATCGTGTTTTTGCATGGTCTTAAATTTTGTTCAAGTGTTGTCCAAAGTGTTTGACTTCAAAAAGCATAAATATATTTATTTTTCTCCTAATATTAACAATGGCGTGGCACATCCGGGTGATTTGCACCAAACGTGGGAAGGTGATGTGACGCTCTTCCACATTTAGCGAAACCATAGAGCCAAACAGACGGCAAAATGGAAAAATTTAAATTTGCGTACTCCTGGTTGGAGAAAGACAAGTTTAACAGTGACCTGTCACTGAAAACAACCGGGTAATTTATTTCTTCAAGCTTTTTCGTTCGAAGGGCTATCTACCCCTTCCCCCTCTAGATTTCCGTGTGTGATGTGTACCTTGCAAGCACAATCAGACATGCGCACATAAATAAACTGCTAGAATGACAATAAAGACATTTACATGCATCAAAAAATTGAGGTTTGGAGCAAAAACACAACCTGTTCTGGTTGTTTGTGTCTATTTTAACCTTTAACCAATAAAAGAAATTTACATGGCATTACACATATCAGCTAATTAAGCATAACTAACTGGCTTATCAATGTGCATGTAAACACACTCAATGAAAGTCATTTGGGTCCAATTATGTTTTGGATCATATAGATTGATAGAGGGATACAAGGATATATACATAAAAAAGATACTTATACAGATGACAGAATTGTAATTTTTGGGTGAACTGTACCTTCCATACTTATTAAAAAGCGTTTCTGTTTTTTCCATTTAGTAAGCAGCGTCATAACCGTCTGTGGCGCCCTGATTCGGATTGCGATCACCCCGAGTGCCAGCAAGCTGCTGGTCCTTGCTATCTGAATGCAGAGACTGGAGATCACATCACTCCTGACTCCACAACCCCCAGGGTCACTGTCTGCTGTGAGCCTACAGCCCACTCCTCTCCAATTAGTCTAGATCTGGATCCTGGCCATCCACAAAATTACCACTACTACTTCCGCCGCTTGTCAGACTCGGCTCTAGAGAGCGAACCTTCCACCCCTGTCCAAGCACAGCCTTTGGTGGATGTAGATCGTGTCTATATTGAGGTTGCCGATGTGGAGCAAGATGCACTTCTTGAGGATGAAACCTTCGAGGCACATGAGGGCCCTCCTGTTTCCCACTCAGGAGAGGGTATTGGCGCTCAAACATGTTCTCGAGGACCGGAGCCACTAGAAGAACTACGTCTGCGGTTGGAGTTCAGCACAGTGGAAGAAGAGGATGAAGAAGAGGCTCAGAAAGAGCAAGCTGAGATGGAGGCGTTAACAGAGGAAGCAAAGAGAGTAGATGGGAAGGATAGTGAGGAGCTGTTGAATGAAAAGGGGATCGATCTGACCAGTGTGAACCATTTGTGCAATGAGAACAACAACAACAATCACCTCAAAATGCAACAAATCCTCACTGTGAGTATCTTACTTGCCCACATAAAGTATTAGCACCCTGAACCATTTACAGATGTTTTTATTTTCATTAAATATTTTTTTTTCTTGTGTATTCTTGTTCAGGAAAGTGCCCAAGTAAAGACAAGGCTTGCTCCTGGTTCATCGCTTGCTTCCAAGCCCATCCAAAGTGCTCTTTCGGAGGCTAACAGACGAGGCCTTGCCCCTTTACCCCTCAACAGTGCGCCCTGTATCTCCATTCAGATGCTATCCTGTGCCAACTTGTCCATGACAGCCAAGTGTGGCAGAACTGTCTCAGATCCGTGCCTTGATGCCAATGCAATGTCCTTAGGGAATAACGATATGCCAGAAAGCAAATCTCTTGACCAGGAAACTGAAACCCAGACAACTCTGCCTGAGGCCAAAGGAGAAGGAGATTTCAGGCAGGAAGAGACTGATCTACAGGGTTCCTCTGCTCTTCCCCGGAATGAGAGAGAGCTGAAAGGTTTAGAGAAGGCAGAGGCGTCTTGTTCTCCTCAACAACAAGAGGCTCTGATTCAGCTCCAACGCTCCGGTTTAGTTCGACGTCGAAAAGAACGATTGGAAAAACTCTCCGGTCTCTTCCAGGAGCGTGCACGCGCAAATGAACAACGGGAAGCTGGTTCTAGTAAAACAGAAGATGCAATGAACAGTTCCAGTGATCCAGCTGACCCCTTTCACAGGTCTTTTGGAACACGGAATGATTTTGGAACTGAATCGGCAGTGCCACTGACCAATGAGGCTTTGTTGGCAGTCCTCGGATCAGGAGGATTGACTCCAGTCTCATCTCCACACGGCTCTACGCTCACCCGCAGCTCCAGCAGTGACAGTCTTCGCAGTGTCCGAGGCAAACCAGGCCTTGTGCGTCAGCGTACACAAGAAATTGAAGCACGAATGCGATTAGCGGGACTGACTGTTCCTTCACGACTCAAGCGCTCTAACTCTCTCGCCAAACTAGGCAGTCTCACCTTTTCATCTGAGGACTTGTGCTCGGCCTGCTCCTCTGACGCAGGGACCCTTCTCATGCTCTCATTGTCCCCAGAACCCGAGCACTCGCTCAGCCCAGAATGGGCAAAACCAGACAACATGGAGGTCTTCAGCCAAGGCGAAGCAGGATGTGAAGAGTCCAAGAGCTGACAGCAGGAGATTTTAACGCAACACTACTTTTATTTTCAGCTTCATCTGGAGTTCTGCAACACGTTACTGAGATATTTATATTTATAGATACTTTTTAATCATTTCAGCCACTTGGGAACTTTGGTGTTGTGGTGAACAGATCTTGCAAGTTGGATTAAGAGTGTTTTCTGTTTTTGTGCATTCAATGAATAGGTTTCCAAAATCTATCGGACAGACTTTCAATGCATGAAACCCAAATGGATGTGTATTGCACTGACTGATGAACGGTTCATGAGGTTTTCCCTGCTCTTCCTCACTGCTGTTCTCAAACACTCGCCATCCCAGAGACCATTACTTGAACACATCAAAATAGACCATTGTGTAATGTTTCCATCAGTCCACCCATTTATCGCAGCATAAATCGCTTAGTTGTGGCCTGCTATGAGTCACAGATTCCTTTGGACATGGTCACACATTTTAAAATCATTCACCCTCCTGCGCTCTCACTTCCTGGCTGGACGGCGAAAGGAAATGGACTCTTTATCACGATTAGGAAAGTTCTTTGTGTGCTGATGGACTCTTATCATTCATTGAGCACTGATGATTCACTCACAGGTTTCAAACAGATACCTCATATCAGTTCATTACTGTTTGTTAGGCCAGGCAGAAATCAAAACAGGAAGACTGGCAGCACTTTGGTGTGTGGAGGCTCATTGGGAAAGCTGGTGCCGGACCACCAAGAGGAGATTTGTTTGGGATTCTTCCATCTTTCTAGTACTTAGTGACGGTGATGAAAGACAATCATTTTGAAGAATAAAGAAAAGCGAAGGCAACTTCAAGCTGCTCCGTTTCCAATGAAATGCTCATAAATGCAGTTGCTGTTCTTACGAATGTAACTGTCCATGTTGCTGTTCGAATAGTGAAAGAGTGGGAAATGCTTGGGTCATTGTTACTGTTACAGTCTCTAGTAGCACATATGTGTGTTTTCAAGAGATTTTATATCGACAGGAGCTCTAACATTGGATTTTTTCTCTAGCAAAAGAGCTGTACTGTGTCTCCAAATGCGATACAAATCAGTCATTCACCAAGGTAAAACGCGACTGTTATTTTTAAGACTCATTACACTTGATTCTGATGCAGTGGCTTGTTTGGGCCAAACTGAGCTGAGGCTGATTGCAGTTCGCTGATGATTTCCATCACATTATTGCATTTGCATTAAGTTTTTCATAAAGAAATTAAAGCAAGGTGGAATGGCCTTTTGGATTAAATCTACATCAAAAGATTGAACAACACTTACAAGGTAAAGTTGTGGCATGGTTTGCACTATGAGTGTGTGTATCTGCATGAGTGAATCTCACAAGAGCATGTCTAGGTCACATTTTCCCAAAAACCACAAGGAAGTTTTATGAAATATGATAAATAATGTTTTGTATTTAGGAACTGATTTTTTTTGGTCCTGGAGGTCTGGTGTCCTGCAGATTTCAGCTCCAACCACAGTTAGACACGCCTGGGCTAGCTAATCAAGCTCTTACTAGGATTTATAGAAACATCCTTGCAGGTGTGTTGAGGAAAAATCTTTAGGACATCGGACCGCCAGAACAGAGTTTGAGAACCACTGCACTAGGCTATTGGTGCCAACAGAGTTTTACTGGAATATTGTTTTTTTTTTCCCATGAGGGCTCCTGTTCACCAAAGTGCACAGAAACGTATGTGCTGTTCTTTTTCTGTTGTTTTCATTAGAAGTTATTGAAAGTTTTTTTTTTAAGTGATGGCAGCGTAGCGAGGCATGGAGTTTGCATTGTTTAAAAGCTTCGACAGCTTTCGAGAAGTGCTTGCAGCTCAGCATTTTCAGAACAGCGTTTACATTCCTGCAGCTGAAAAAATGCTTTGGTGGACACACGCCCTTACTCTTATAAATCTTATAAATTCAGTGCAATGTACTGAAAAATACAGTAAAAAAGGGAGGTTTAGATTGGCGCATGCAAGATTTTATTAAATAAATAATATATTGTTTTGTAATATAATAACAGTATATATTCATCATAATGGCGGCAACACCAAAGCTCCAAAAATGCCAATTTATTCAATTAAAAGGCTGATACAGAACGTGTAACATTTTGAGCACACCAGCTCTTCATTGGACAGTAGCTATGTTTTCATCTAAAAATGCGAATAAACTTTATGCACAAAACTGGATTATCACATTAAATATCACATTAAACGTAATTCCTGATTAACTGGCGGCAAATATCGACAGGAAAAACTGAATTTGCTGCGGTAGGAGAAACTGTGTGAATCTTTTCCTTATTTAATAAATTACTTTCACCTCAGAAGACAATGCCGACATGCACTGAACATGTGGTGGCGTTTGAAGGCACGAGACACGAAGTACAGACAGTTCTGGAGGTTACTAATAATATAATAACGCTAACACTTAAACAGTAAGGCGTTTTGCGATGACTAAAACAACATTTCAGATGTTTTACAATGCGCTCAGCCTGCTGGTTTGTCCATCACACACATATTTATCGTCACTTGATCTCTTGTAACAAAATCACATGGCTTTTTTTAATGCGTATACTGGAATTTGTTCGGTAAAAGTGTTTCCATCACAGTTTTTTCTCATCATTTCTTATCGGATAAAAAGTTTATCCTACTCAGTGTTGCACATATGTTCTTATGCGCTTTTTCCAAATGTATGCGCATCTCAGTGTTTCAATCAACCGTTTTTTAATGCGCATCTCCAAAATGCACATAAAAATAGGTGGATGAAAACGTAGCTAGTGAGAGGCGGTGTGCTTGAAATGTTACACGCCTTGTATCAGTCTTTTTAATTGAATAAATTGGTATTTTTGGAGCTTTGGTGTTGCCGCCTTTTTGAATACATATATTTGCACTGTTTGCTGTTTGGCTGCGCACCCATTTAAAGTGATGTGTGTGCATTTGTATATTTTCTCGTTGTAATATACACTGTAAAAAATAAATCCGTAAAATTTACGGTTAAAAAAACGGCAGCTGTGGTTGACAGTACTTTAAGGTTAAAAACACGGTCAAACCGTAAAAAATAATTTCTCATTTTCACGGTAAACTACCGTAGTTCATTCATTTATAGAGGTAATATGTCTGTATTTTGAATGACCAACATCTACATATCTTTTGTTACACAATTAGACACATAAGCACACCCATATGCAGGTGGTTATAAGGAAGTTACATAATGAACCAAACCACATCACAATCAACTTTTACCACAAGCAGAAAATTAAATTAATATATAGAAGGTGCTTAGAGTCATTCACACAGCTACTAAACACCAGTATGGTAACACACATAAAATTAAAAGTCATGCAATAAACATTGTTTATCAACATTAAATGTAATATAAACCTCTATTGTACATAACTGATGGGGAAACAACTAAAAAGATCCATAGTAATGTCAACAAAATGCATAAAAAGTTATGTGCCATACAGGGAATTCTAGGAAAGTCAATTTACGGTTATTTGCCGTATATATTAAGGAAACATACTGTTGACCAGGTTACAGATTTTGACAGTAGCATTTTTACAGTTCTTTACCATTGAAATCACAGCCATTTTTTTACAGTGTACGGTAGTAACCGGAAATGATCATAAATTCATAAAATTATTATTTTTTTGTGATTTTTTTTTTTTATTTTTCATTAAGAAGTAGGAATTAAAAACATTGGATCAATTTGAAGCATTTAGGCAAAATATAATATTTGATTTGATACATTTTATGTGATATTTAAGAGTGAAAAAACCTCCTAGACATGTTTTTGACAGTGAGATTCATCTCTGTGTGTGTCCGTGGAAACTTGACCAGATGACATGATCACAGAACCTTTGATAAGAAGCAAAAAGCTTTGTTAATGCATCAGTCCAACTGTTATATCTTTGATCATGTTCTGGTGTCAACATGCCTTTATTTACCATCAGCTGGCCAATTACAGCTTGAGTTGAAGTACTTGACGTTTAATATTATGCAGCATACTTTACCAATGTTTTATAAACGCCATTTTATACACGCATATATGCTCTCACGCTGAGTTGGAGCAACACGAATGTGAAGTTTGCGAGTGAGTGGTGCCTTGTACAGCGGTTACACCATAACTGTGAACTATTTATGAACAGGAGACCCTGTCAGAGTGTTTGCTTTTATGTAAAAAACATGAGCAGGCTCATCATATACAGACCATCTCCACCTCTACACTCAGCAATACACTGTATGTTAATATGTATGTCGGTTATGCAACACAATTGCCGGTATTTGCATCTAAAGCTTTTTTTTTTTTGTCCTGTAGATGATTGCCTGAAACGTTTTTGGTGGATTGAAAAAGAATCAACACTTTAATCTTCCTTATGAGGCCTGAATATTAAAATTGAAATAAGCCAGAAAGGTCTTTAGTGTCATGAACTTTTATTACATGACATGACTTAAATAACATTTTAAAAGGAATGGTTTCATTTACTCTCACTCAGGATATATTGGTGGTTTGTAAAATGCTTTTCAGTGGCAAGTTGCACTTTGGGAGTTCAAAAAACATGTAAAGCAGGGCTCAAAATTATAAAGCGAAACATTCCGTCTTTACAACATTATTCACAATTCTTTTTAGCATTTTTACTTTTTTTTTTACATTATTTACAACAGTGTTTCTCAACCATGTTCCTGGAGGACACCAGCTCTGCACATTTTCCTTGTCTCCTTAACCAAACACACCTGATTCAGCTCATCTTCTCATTAGCAGAGACTGAAAGACCTGTAATGGGTGTGACAGACAAGGGAGACATCAAAAACATGCAGTGCTGGTGCTCCTCCAGGAACGTGGTTGAGAAACACTGATTTACAACATGTAAGCTTCAGCATTTTGGTCTTCAGGATTCACAGGTATTAAATTATTATGATACATTTTTTTGCCTATATATGTTTTTTTTTACTCCCAAAGCCATCAATTTGCATTATAAAAATCACCAAGGATCCCAGAATGAGCAAAAATTCAGTCAAACTTTACAATAAGGTTGCATTATTGAAAGGTGACCTATTATGCCAATATGTAAAATAAGTCTCCAGGATCGAAATACCCAAGAAACGACATTTTGTAGCTCTTTAAAATGGCCCCTTTTAGACTTTGATCCAAATTGTCACTTTAAATTCAAATGAGCTTGTTCCCCTAGCCATATTTGGAAAAAAGGGTGGAGCTTAAAAATGCATACGCATTAGCAGAGCAGCAGATTCCCAAAAGGCTGCTTCTCACTGAGGGCTGTTTATGCTAATGAGGGCGAGATTCTCACTAATTGGCGGGGCTTTCTCCCTTCTAGTAACACGTACAAAGGGAGAATGTCAATCAAAGTGGTTTATCAAGTGTGATTATAAAAAAAATGGATTTAATACATTTTTACCATTAACATTAGGTCCATTACTTGTTTATTTTAGTAAAAACATTATTTAACTACTAATGCAACCTTATTGTAAAGTGCTACAAACAATAATGTTTTATTGAGGTAATCCTGAGGTAAATAGCCAGAAAAGTGTCATGTTTGGGTGAGCCGACCCTTATAAATGTGCCGCCATTTTATGTCTGATGCCATATTGAGGTCAAATCAGAGTCAGAGGATACAGATTAAATGTGCATTGTCTTGTGTCATCAACATCAAGTGCCTTACCCAGAAGCACTAGAGAGGCATTGCTCTGATTGACTCCCATTTGATAACATTGCCAGTCCAGCAAGAGGCCAGTGGCTCACACTGACATTCGTTTCTAAAATCGCAATATTAACTTACAGAATAACGCTAATCATATAACACTGCACGCTTTTCCAGTCGCCAGGTTTGGTTGTGTTTCCTTTCTTAGTGAGCGGGGAAGGATTTTACGCTATCCACGTATGAAGTGATAACCAAAGCTTAGCATTAAATCAATAATTAATAAATAAAGGCCACATTACCTGTTGATGCTGTTGCTTGTGGAGCTGCCATAGATGTAAGCTGTTTGCTTGGGAGAACTGGAGACTGGTGAGAAGTGGCTTTTGTTTTTTTATTTCAGAATGTGACACTGGTTTTCCTGCTCCCAAAACATCCTTAGACTTTCCTGTAGGTGGATATCGAGGGTCTTTTTGCGAATTAGCAATGCGGTTTAATTGCAAAAACATCTTGTCACCGTTGTCGTCGCTATTAAGTATGCAGTAATTGTTTTTGTGTACTGCAGATTTGCTGTAGTTTCAACGCATATTGCACTTTG